TTCACTCCGCGTGTCAGTGTATCGGTCTGCCAGTCTAACTTATTTAATATAGTTATGTGAAGTACATGATCGTTTTCTAAGGTTTTTGGTTTTGCCTAGGAGCCAGGCCACCAAACCGAAGCATTCAACTTTCTATTGATACCACGATCTGTGTGATAAATTCTTAAGTTCATGTAAAAGTCATCTGCTTTTGGTCGAGTCTCTCCTTACAGCCCTTCATACACTCCAGAGGGCATTTCTTTTCTTTTTTTTATTTAGCCCCCTGTCAAATTCTTCGATTTTGTGACTGTGGTTTTACCACAATCTTTTGTTGCACACATGCAGGCATCTTGCTCTCCATCAAACCTTCCTGCTTTTTAGCCGGAAAATTTTCGTTTCCTCTCGCCGCCTGAAAACACTTCTACGACCTCCGCGTCCTGTTACCGAACCGAGTTCTACTCCTACCTGTCGCGTCTCCTGTTAGTGGACCTCGCTGAAGACGGCGACAGATTTCTCAACTTCCTCCTTCCACTTTCTCACACCGCAAATGGTCTTCTGTCAAACCTCTTGGTTTCAAGTCAGCCACTGCCCTCTTTTTTCTGTCATCTGAGATGTATTTTAAATGATAAGTTAGTACTTGTTCTTTTTTATAATAGCAGTGGGTGTGGGCTCACCTGCTATGCGAAATACGACCTTCTAAATAATTTAAAGCAAAGTTTCCCAGGCAAAAACAGCAGGATTTATTGGATCCATCAAATTTCGGGAGAGCTCTTCAGCTGCGTCCACCCCAATGCATTACAAGAGTAACGAATGAGAAAAATACAGAATTGAATTGGTGCAGAAAGGTCAAAGAGGTCATAGGGCATGGTCACGAAGGTTAATTAGTAAAGTAAGAGAGATAAAACAAGGTGGAAAGAGAAACAGAAGAAAAGGAGTTAAGGCGAAAAGATGGGCAGGGGACTGTGTAAATCTGGGAGCCGGATGTTACCAAGGCAAAGCTAAGCTAACCACACGCTCCAACTGTTTACATAGGTCAGGTTTTTATCGCCTTATATAGGCTGCCTCCAGGTAGCGCAAGGTGCGAGTTGTTCGTGCTCGAACAATTACTCGGAAGGAAGTTTTAGGGTCCACAGAATGACCCATATCTAGCAAATGTTCTGTAATGGAGGAACGAGGGGTTCAATTTTCCTGTTTGAATAGCCACCTAGGCAAGTACTCCTTGGCTCTGGCTGCCAATAAATCCTGCTGTTTTTGCCATCTACAAACTTTTAGGTAATGCTAGTCTCCTTTTTGAAAAAGAGCCAGAACCGTCTTGCTGCCTGTTTAGCCACTACGCCCTTCAGCCTTGTCCTATTAATTGTGAACACAAAAACTGGTAGGCCGATGTTATGCAAGTCCGAAGTCTTCTTTCTTCGCAGACGAAGGACTACCGACTGCCTTCTAGGTACCACCGTTCAGACTTCGTGGTTCGAACAATGGTAGAATCCTACTTTGGATCCCAGATTAGCACGCGAAAGCCCCATGCTTCTGTAATATAGGACCGGATGGAATGAAGTGTATCCAATCTGGACAATACAAAGGAAAGCAATTATAAATGAATAAAAAAGTAGAAAAGCAGGAATACTTATTTAAATAATGTAATGTTTGTCAACAACAAAGCGCGCCATAATTAAAATAGGCAATTATGCCAATATTGGGAAATAACTAAAAAGTAAAATCAACTAACTAAAAAACGTAAGCTAAACTAAAAACTAAAATAAAAATAGTAAACATAATCATGAACTGAAAACTGAACTTAAATATAAATAAGTTAACTAAACCAAATAAAATAAAGTCGTTGCGCGTGCTAATTGAAGGTGTGCGCTGCGCTACGCGCCGCGAACTATACTAGTCAGACTCCAGAACGGTAAGTTCGACCTCAGGTAATTTGAAGTAGACGACCTCTTAACCATCAATTTTTTTTCAGGAATATTAAGAAACCCAATTAACTTTAAAGTATAAGTGGGTAAAAAAATTCCAAAATTGTCACATCCAATAAACTATAAATAAGTTAGAAATATAAGTAAACTCCTCTGTTTATTTATGGCGCGCTATTTTGTTGTGAAAACATTAGATTATTTAAACAATTTCTGGGACCCAAAGTGGGATTCCACCCCTGCAATAAATATAACCAGCCTCTTCTCTCGCGGATGGTTCATCGGTCCCGAATTTCCAGGCAGCTATAGCGCACACCACCGTCTGTGGCCTGTTGGGTGATTCCACCACATAGGCCCTAAGCTTTCTGCCGTATGTTTGTGTTCGCTTATTGGCAGTGTCTGCGCGACCCAACGTTGTGCCTGGAAATGGATTGCGGCTTGCTTCCATTTAGCCTATTTTATGAAACTCTGCGCGGTTAAACATTTCCTACTTCAAGGGTAAGTAGTGCTCACAAATTCATCCAAAATTAATTACCTTTATTTTACCGATAGCCTTGAAGGCTTTTGGCAAGTGTTCCAGTCATTCTACTCCGATAAACTGTTTGAATCTGCAGTGATTTTTGCCCCGGTCGATCACCTTCCGGTTGACTGTATTTTAGACACCTGCCCCATCTCCTCGGAACAGGCACGAAATGGCATCATTGCACTGGCTCGTGATCTGGCCGGTGTGGCATTTAGTCTGAATACAAAGTCCTCTTTCCAGATGTTCCTTGACTGGTTCTACCCCTCCTGTTTCACCCTCTTCAGTCGGGCTCTCGAGTTATGGCCCTTCGACCCCCAGGTCCTCTCACCTGTCCTCAAACTGCTAACAGAGGTCGTCCACAACCGTAATGGACGTTTGATGTTTGATGCAACCATTCCGATGGGCTACTTGCTGCTCAGTGAAATGGCCAAGATACTGGTGTCTTCCGGTTAGTTTGCTACCATCTATTTGGGTACTTCTGGTTGCCGGTCTCCTCCGGTGGACGTTTTAACCTATAAGGCACTTCATTGCTTCTCGATGTTTTGATTCGATTTATATTATCCAGCGACACTTTGCAAGTATGAACTAATTTTGCTTTTGGAACCAACTAATAAGTAGGGTCTCGAAGCTAAGCATTCGGTGGGGAATATAACGCTCCATCCGTTACCCTACGTCATTTCTCACTAAGCGGGGGCTTATCTTGAAATATCGAATAATAATGTTAGTGTCAGTAGTATATATTGATGTTGTAATTTGTCATACTAACAGCCCAGCTTCTTTCTATTCTGCTGCTGCTGCTTGACAGAGCTGCGAGGGTTCCGGCTCATTAGTGGGTCCCCCAGCTTTCCCTGTTTACTTTCTGTTTGATATACCGGTTTTGAAAGTTCAGCCTTTTAATCTCCTTAGAAATTAATTTCTGTTCGCGGTATACATCAGCATATTTAAGGTCTATAGGCATAGACCGAAATTTTAAGTATATATTTGGGCTGAAAACCGTCAACCGCTGTGTAATTTACATCTGCTGCCAACGGACAGAATGTAGTAGTACATATTGATGTTGTAACTTACCATACTAACAGCCTAGGTTTCGCCGTGTCAGTAGTGTAACTCAGCCAACCGTCCTATGCGTCACTTGTAACTTTTCTACATCAATGTTTACTGTTGCCATAGGCCTATATTTTAGCAGTTTGGTCAGCCTTATCTTGTAAAAGATTTTGCAACATAGTGCTAGCACATTGTGGCTCGCCTACTATCAACGTATTTCACCACCGGTGTCCAGAGGGAGAGGAGGTTTCTGGTGACGACTTACACAGGACTGACGTCACACTTTTTCCCCAACCGCCATATTCCACTAGCGGGACAACACCTACATGACTTGAGGGGATCGTGGGCGTTTGCGCGAACTACTCATGTGTTTGTTCCTCCGCACGCGAACCACGCACTTCAAGTCTCGGCGATCACCGTAGTTTGCCACTCACTCCGGAGGAGAACTGAGTTCTATTGCGGCAATCGGAAATTCTCTCCAGGCCTCTAATCTCTTAACGTTTCTGTCTATTATGAAGCGGAGGGGAGTTGAGCGCTGGCTCTGCGCTGGATCGACCTCTCTCCCCCTTTTTCTGTGTCGTCACGTACCAAGGGGCAAGCCAACCGGAGACGCGATTGAAAGCAATTCCCGACTAGGCGTAAAACCCCTAGGTAGGACGTGCTAGCAACGTGCTCGCCTCTGTGCAGGATAAAGATTACAACCAAATCAGTTTTCATTTGAGCTAGAGGTTAATCATTCTCTCAACCCGGTTATTGTTCCCACCACCCTTCATAAGCGCTGCGATTTTATCGCTACCTCATTTTCGGCATTCCGCGATAAGCTGTCGTCATTGGAAGTTTATTCGGAAAAAACTAGTTTAAGTAGTGCACCTCATATACCCCTAGTTCCACCATTTTGCTCTACGGAAAGGTTGTTATAGGGATTTTGGGGGCGGAGAATTAGGATCGACAGTGAAGGAAATTTTTAGAAGTAGGTAGAAAATGTAGTTGATTTTTGTTCCTGCGGCCGCTGGAAGTAAGTTGTTGCGCATGTACATTTAAGGTGTGCGCGGCGCTTCGTGCCGCGGACTTTACCAATCGAACTCCAGGACGGCAAGTTGGACCCCAGGTAAGTTGAAGTAGACGACCTCCTAACCACTATTTCTATCCTTTCAGGAATTTCAAGAAACACACATTTTGATAATCGGCGTTTTCCGCAATACGTTAAACGATAATACAGATTAGGAAAATTGACAGATATAAATCAACAACATTCCTAAATGCAATTAAATTTAAATACATATAGCGGTTATTAAAGTATAGTCCACTGCCTATCCTTTTCCCGCCCCCAAAACCCATATAACCACCGTTTCTTTAGAACAAAATGCTGGGACCTGAGGGTATATGAGGTGCACTGCTTAAACTACTGTTGCCGTTTATTACTTAATCGTGGGCTGGGTTTTAGGACTTAAAAAATTGTTCGACTTTTGGCGCTTTACGACCTCACTTATTAAGACCTTAATTTGCCGCCACATTCTACTGTTAATGCCCATCAGATAGAATACATCGAGTGGAACGGACATTGTTAAACAGGTGGCCCTCACCCTTTCTTTGTCGGTTAAATAGTGACCTTTCGTCACCGTCGTTAGGGGGTGCTCAT